GGAGGGGGGTTCAGGTCACGTCCCACTGACCTTACATGGGCATTTCCTCTTCCTCACCAGCCTTGTGACAGGCAAAAGTATTTCCTTCCCTTCTTGGGAACCTACATTTGCTTTAATTGAAACGTTTCATGGCGTTTCAGGGTGAACTTAATGGACAAAAGGGGCTGGTTCCTTCCAACTTTCTTGAAGAAGTGCCTGATGATGTTGAAGTCTTTCTCTCCGATGCACCCTCGCGCTACGTTCACGACACACCGACGCGTTCAAAAGCAAAAAGGGTAAGCAACCGAATAAGAAAAACTTAAATCCTTTTATTTCCCATTCCATCCTGTCTCATACGTAATTTAGACGTCACTTTTAACACCTTAAATTCATCTGCCCATTTAAAATTAACTCTCTCAAATATATAGAATAAAACGTAAGGAAAAGCGACTTTAGCCTTCGCTGGCTCGTTACATTTGTAAATGGAGAAACTAAATTGACTGTTTGATTGCAGTCATTGCAGTACCTTCCATGATAATTCGGATTTAAGCAGTTCTTCTCTGGTGATAGTTATTTCCTAAGGCTTCCAAACTGCTCTTACTACAAAAAGCTCTCGTGGACAAAAGATTGGTACCAGTGTTCCTCTAAATACAAACTGTAACTGCAGCTGATTGACTGACAGTGCTCGTCTTTTAATCCTTATGACTTCCTGTTCCAACTGGCATTAGTTAATTGCTCAGAGACTTCTCTTTTATGAAAGATTAACCATGTTTAGAGTATCTCATTTTTGGTTTTGTTTCATCACTGCAATACTTTTATATATTATATATTTTATATATATTTTTATTTCTTTGCTCATCTGCTTGGAAACAGAAGAAGAGTGTTCATTTCACACCTTAATAAGGCAATGTAGCCTTCACGTAAGTGAGCAACTGAAGATACCAATAGAGATTTCAATTAAAGCTACCTGGCTATCTAATGCAAGTCTTGAAACTTAATTGTGGGGGAAAAGGAAAGAAATATGTCTCCAAAAGCCTTGGCCACAGAAGAGCAGGCTTGTATGCTTCTGCTGAATCTAGTCGAGTCAATTGAGGTATTTTTAGGAGACAAATCCTTTAAAAAGGAATCCTTGGAAGTCAATTAGACCTCACTTTATGAAGGTCAGCGTTTGGAACATATTTCTTCACGAGCTCAATGTTTATGTTTACATAGAAAGGAGAGTTTGATGTCTAACTACCCTACAAACAAAGCTGCATATTGCATTGTTAGCCAACCTGGGAGGTAAAAATTCCAAGCTCCTGCGACAAGAGAAAAGCACAACAGCTCCAACCCTTACAGAACATCCAAGTGCAGCCTAAGCTGATGCACACGGTAGTTTACAAGGGTATAGTTGGTTTTGAAACTCATTACACTCAAACTGAGCTACTTAAATTGTCTGCCTTAAGATGTGTTTTCCATAATCGATTATACCCCAGCCTGCCTCAGACCAACCATTCAACGCTCCTGAAAACAATCCCTTCCCACGGCACAATTGACTGGGATTTTTGTCCTAGAAAGTGGACATTTGAAATGTTAGCAACTGTTTGGTTTACCAATGCAATAAAAGTCTCGACCTGAAACATGCAGCTCACTGAATGAATGCATTAGACTCAATATATGGTATCTTCAGGTGTACGTTGGGGTGCTTTACCAAGTTGTTTTGGTTTCTTTTTTTTTTTCATTAGAATTAGACCTTGATTTAAAATCAAAGTCGGCTTGAAGCCCCTTTGCTTAACTCACTGTTGCACAACAAGCCAGTAAATTGCTGATGTTTTAACTCCAAGCTAACAGGACTCCCTCCAGCATGGATTCTACTATGAAAATATCATCTTAATTGATAGTAACCCATCCTGCCAGCTGGGCACTGTAGTTAGGATAGGCTGAGTATAAGCAATTTTAGCATTTTCATCCAAGTGCTTTTGATGATTGAAAAAAAAAAAAATTAGCTGTTCAAAATATTTAGGAATGCTGTCATCTAACAACCTCATAGCTGCAGCATATACATCAAGCAGTCAGGGTCTTTAAGCTTTCTTTGATTGCAATTGAGGTTCATTTTAGCTTTTTCTTTTTCCTTTTTTTTTTCTTTTTTTTTTTTTTTTAAAGCCAGTGTGCCATCTTCTCTAATCTGTACATAAAGTTTGCTAGCCAATTTTAAAGAAAAGGCATTTAAAGGACATTAAAAAGTAAGTGAACATGTAGCATTTTAAGTAATTTCTTCTGAAAAGAGTTTGGCTTCTATATATTGCTAATCTGTAGTAATTAACACATTTATTTTTCTTAAATCTATAGCTAAAAGTATCCCTCTCCATTTTAGTACCATCAGAGTACTGAAATGCAAAACCCAAGCCAGTTTTGTGGCTTTTGTGGCCAGAATTCTGGCAAAACAAGTGTATCCAACTTTTCCTTTAAAAAAGTACAACCAAACCAGGGCTCTATTGGCAGGTTTTCTATTGTTCTACAGTTTCCCCCCTCCCTCTAAATTTATGCATTTGCCATAAGCCCAAGCAGTATTTTAAGCCAGAGAGAAGAAAGGAACCAGCCCTTTTGCTTGAAAGTGGGTAATGGGACAAAAAGTGATGTTACCAAACTTTCTTGATGCTGACAGCTTTGAAGCTTTCAAACATTCAATAAATTATAACAATGTACCTAATAGGTTCCTCCTGAGAATACAGGTACATCCCGGAGAGCACCATCCCCCACAGTTCATCTCCATTCCGGGTCACCTACGTCACCTATGGGTTCTGGTAGTCCCGGGAGAGGCAGGGATATGTCCTCGAAAAAGAAAAAGGGGCTGCTTTCCAAAGGCAAGAAACTGCTGAAAAAGCTTGGTGCAGTGAAATGATTCATGTGCTGCTCCTGGACAACTTGTAAAAGCTTCCAGTCTGTGTATTTTAATTTTTTTTTCTTTAATTTTTTTTTTTTTTTTCTAAAGTCAAAACTAGGGCTTTCATGACTATGCAGTACAACTTTACCAAACCTCTCTGCATTTTTAACTCTGACATCAATAGAATCATGTGAATTGCTTAATCAAAACAGCAAGGAAAAAAAAAAAAAAGGAAGTGGATTTGTTGTTGCAAAAACTTTTTTTTAAAAAATAAAAAATTTTGTGGGCTTAAGAGCAGAAGAACGTGGTTTTATTTGAAGTCAACTCAACACCTGCAACTCCACTGGAAAAATCTCAGCCTTTTTAGCCACCTTTAACCACGAGTGGTGGGGAGAAAACTCTGTTCCTTGATTCCTAGTTCAGAGAGATCACCCCACTGTAACCAATCACTAACAGAAATGGTCTTGAAACTCCTAGTTTAATCAGCCTTGATGTTTTGCCTTATTAATGCACAATGATTTGTACTGTCTAATAAATATACAGCGTATACTTTGTATGTACTGTGTATTCAACTGTCTTCATCTTCCCTAAAACATGGTAATTTAAGATCAAGTACTATGTTACTGACTCCATTCACTGTCTGATGTAACTCCTGGGAGTTTGAAAGTGCTGTGCTAAACGCTTTATTTTTTATTTTATTTTTTTTTTAGTTTTTGCTTCTTTATTTCCCCCCACCTCCAAAACCCAAAACCCCTTGTATTGATTTATTCTGTCAACTTATTTTCACTCCACTGAAATCAGATACACTGTAAGTTATTCAGAACCTCATCCAGTTTCAACCATACAACCTCCAGTTTTGGGGGATTCCTGGTTTACTGTTCTAAACTACTGGGAAAATTAAAAAAAACCAAACCAAAACAAAAAACCAACTCCACACCAACTCCCCTTTACTCCCCCATATTTTTTTTTTTTTCTGTGGAGGTACAGTTCTAAGTTAAAAGGCATTTTCATATTGCTGATGTCAGATTCAGGATAAAGTACATGTTTAAAGTAAAAAGGACAAACTGTGTTGCAGTCACAGGCCACAGCCAGTAACGAGGCTGCAAGAGGCTCTATTCAAATCTTAATTGTGATATTGGCATATCAAGACAAACAATCTTACACACTGATGGCAGTCATTGGCTGTTACTATTTTGTAATTCTTGTCCATTTGTAAATTGTTTTTACTGTTTATACATACTTTTCAGACTGCCTTTCTTTTTGTAATTTATGGAAGGTTTATAAATGAATGATCAAAGCTTCCCCATTGTGTCTTCAGATAATAATGTAAATTACTGTAAGATACCGTGTGCTAGATTATAACATTTAATTAAAGAAAATAACTGGCCTAAAGTTGTGGTAAAGTACTGTGTGGGTGTGTGCATGTGTACAATTGTTGTGTATTATATTTTATATAAATAAATAATTTGATATTTTGTAGAGTGCAGTATGTTTCATAAATCTACTGTAGCAGCTGCCTGACTGCTGTGCCAGCCTTCTCTCCCTCCCTCCTGGCCCTGGCACCCCTGGTCAGACCCCAGGTGCCCAGGGAGCCAAGGACAAGCACATGGCCATGGTGCAAGTCACCCCTTCAAACACTGCACCAAAGAGGAGAAAGAACAGCCCCCAGTGACCATCTCCTACCTTTCTGCAGCTGCACAAGGTCCTTCTCAAGTGACCTCAAATAAAAAAACAGATCAGAATGAACATCTGTGACAGGAGTAAATAAGTGGTATGTAACCAGCAAGAAATACAAAATACTAAGCAGTGGATAGGGTAGGCTACCACTGTATGACATCAGAAACACAAAACTATTTGCCCAAAAAACCCTCTGCATGTCTTCATTGCAAATTTCATGTGGAAGAAGTTGGCAGAGTTCTCTCAGCCTAGGAAAGGAAAAAACCTCAGCTGAATACAAGTCATAGAATTCTCATTTTTCAGAATTGTCAACAGCTAGTTTACTGTAGAATAAAGAAAGGCTCATCTACATGCAAGACTGCAAGAGCTTTCCAGAGATAAAAAGTGTTTGCAAAGTTACTGTGGCAATTGTCCCATCTATGCCCAAAGCCCACTGTTGAAGTACATAAGCAAACACATAAAACAGAATCAAACAAGCAAGGAATTACAGCAACAAGTTTATTTAAATCTCACAGAGAACAGGAACAAGCTTCACAACAACTTGGTTAGGAAAATCAGCACTAATCCACATTTTTCCATGTGTGCTATTTTGACTCTGGTATAAACTCTGAAATCTACTTCCACCCACACAACTGCTTCTTGCTTTACAAACTGAGCTGCTGCTGCTCAACAGTTACCAAGGAAAACCTCAGACATGCAAAGCAAACCAAGGCCACTGCCCAGTGCTTGGAACTACAAAAACAAAAAACCCCCTGAACCTGGTCAGTGCACTGACACTCAGATGGAAGTTATTATTCACATTTAACAAGCATGTGGTTAAATAGCATCAGTCCAGAAATTTAATTCCTTTCAGTGATGCCAGTGGGAGGAAATTGCTGTAGACAACTGCACAGTGAACATGAAGTTACAAGACTAAGGACTTTGACAGGATAGTCCATTCTAAGTCTCACAGCTGCTCCAACAGCATCCAAACCATCCCTTTGTGTGGAGAGAACAGTGCAGTCTTGGATAATAAAGGTGCTCCAACAACTGTGGTAAAGGACAGAGATCATTTTGCCTTTGTCAGTCGTGTAACTCTGGCATCCACAGCACTTCCTCCTCAGCTGAGCCAGTGTGAAAAAGCCCCACTTCACTCCCCTCTGCTCCCAGGGAGACTCCAGACAGTTTCTAGTTGGTCTGCAAATCCTTCCCCAAATGGCAGCCTTAAACCAAGAACAGCTTACAGCCTCTTTGTAAAGTATAAAACAGTTTAGGAAACAAAATTTTGCCCTCATTTTAACAGGCAAGAAAAACAAGGAATCAACAGTTTTGAAGCATTTTGAAAATTAGAAGTGTAACATACTAGCTGAAAAAGTTTGGATTTTGTTCTGTGTAACTCTCTTACTTGCTAGAAGTAATTTTGGGTAAGACTTCCCAAAAAAAAAAAAACCAAACCCAAAAATAAGTTCCATAACTGCACGTATTATCCTATGTTCATGCCTTTTAAGAAAAAACAAAACTAAAAAACCAAAACCTTAGACAATTCTGTGTTCCTTGGAGAAGAAGGCTGATAACTCAGCTTCAAAGATAGTAAAGTCTGTCTGAAAGCATCAGATTTGGTTCTCTGTGAATGCTCTGACCAACAAGGAAAGCCAGTTTATGAGCATATTGGCAAGGAGCAGGTACTCTGATAACACCCTGTAGAAGGGGGAGAAAAAAAAAGAGGCAATTATTTTCAAGTAATTTAAATAAGCATGCATTCACTGTAACACACTCTAACAGATACCCCTGGAATTCCAAAGTATGTGCATGCATGTAAAGTTTATATTCCCTGTTGTTTCTGCTGGTTTCTGAAAATAACATTACATACTTTGAACACATAACAGAAGAACAGATGCAAGAAAACCCAAGCTTCCCAACTCCATTCCTCTCCTCACTCCAAAAAAAAAAATCCTTTCACATTCAATATTGGGTCTTGCAGAAGGTGGGACATGGGTTAAGTCAGGCCTAATAGTTAGGATCGTTAAAGTGACAAATCTGAAGCACACCTCAGGCACAAGCTGACTGTGTGCTGGTCTTGGTCTGCAACAGAAGCCTCAAGGGAAGTGGAGGAACAGAATTACACCCCCACATAAAGCAGGAAGTATTTCTGCAGGTAAGAAATAGTCACTTCAAGTTTGCTTTTGACACAGAATTTGGGAATAATACTCAAAATAGCAAGTATTTTCTAGTGAGAATAAAAAGATTAATCTTCAGAGAGATCAGGTTAATTATAAAGCATCTAGTTCTCAAACAACCACTCTAGGTCCCAGGCACACCTGCAGGCTTTTTGGATCTGCATGGGTGTTTTAAGGATACTTGTTTCCACCTTCTTGTGGGTTGTAACTGCACAGAGATGCACAATCTTTGAAGAAAAATATTATCATTTCCCAGAGGAAACACTTACCGACCAGTTATAGTACATGTGGCAGAGTTTGTAGGTCAACCTCTGCAAGTGATCTGGTTTCAGCTGGCTGCCATCATAAATGACATTGTAATGAGTGGGTGAGACACAACCATTTTTCACTGTATGGCTCACAACAAAGAAATCATACCTGTAACAGGAAAAGCAAAGTCTGTTACAGAAAGGGCTGCATTTCTGTAAGGACAGTTGGGCAATCCTGTCAGTACACACTCATTTGGAAATAAACCTTTAACAATCAAAACAAGGAACACTAAAGAGTGAAACACACACTTGAAATGTATGCAATACTCTGATATATACAAATAGTGCACATTGAAACCCATGAAATACTGCATAATACATTTGTAAAATGTAAGCTTACCCATTTCTTTCATCTACAAATTCACTCTGATCTCTCTCCAAAAGGACAGAATTGTGCAAAGTCATTTTCTACTTGATCCCACAGTCCATTTAATGTATATTAATATATTTCCTTTACTATAAAGCTGTCAGCAAAAGGACTAAGTGTTACTTCTACAGTAACTTACCACTCTGGTCTGGTAATCACTGTATCAACAACAGTGCCAGGGGGTGGGTTTTTAAGTCCTCCACCAACCTCTGCAAAGAACCGGGCACCCACTCGTTTCTTCACAACGATCACAGTAAGTCTTGGACTGAAATAAAGGAAAAAACCCAAAAGCTATCATGAAAAACTGCACTATGAGTACTTGAGGAACAGGGCAATAATTCCACAAATAAGTCCTCATTAATTCACTGATTTAGATTAAATGACAGTTTTCATAAATTTGGATTTTCAGTTTAGATGCAACTCTGATACTATTTCTCACTAATCCAACATACATTTAACTTCATAGGGAGCCAGAAAAACAGAGCAAAAAGAGATAATCTAAATACAGATCAGATTTCTATTCTCTACCCACCCCACCATTTCATACAGAAAACACTGCCTTAATGGCTTGCTCTTTATCAAAAATGCTGTTAACAGAAACTAAAGAGAAGAAATAAGCACCTCAAATCCTCCGAGCTGTGACTTCTGTCGGGTTCTACTTGCCTGCAGTGTAAGGAAACATGTTCATTTTTCAGAGCAGGTTAAGTCACTGCTGTTAAGGTTAAAAGCAGAATGTTGAAAACTGTGCAGAATATAAATGACTGGACAACATAGTCCTTTCAGAAGTGGAAAGAAAAAAAAATGGACTTACCACGTAAGAGTCATCAGGCTATGATCAACCAGTTGGAAAAAAGCATTAATTACCACTTCCATCAAGAATGCCTAAGGAGTGTTATGTGCATACATGTGTATTGCAGTCATGTGGTGTAATGTAATAGGAAAATTCTTAGTACATGCATGTCAGGTATCTGAAATCATGTAAACAATCATCAGAAAGGCAGTTATTTGAGCTCCAGTAAAAATAAGCACGGACAGAAAGACAACACAGTCTTTGTCCATAACCTCGTTTTGTATCCCAGGGCTGATTTCTCTTGCAGTATAAACAAGAGGGGTGGTGGGAACAGATTTACCTGTAGAAAGAACCAACGCTCTTCAAGCAATCCAGGAATTGAGGCACTTCATAATTAACCAGAGTATTTAGCTGACCATCTCCAACACCATCACGGTACACAAAGATACGAGAGGGCAAACACTTATTCCACTTGAACCAGTTTCTTAGAGCAGCTTAAAAACAAACAAACAAACAAAAAAAAAAACCCCAAGAGTAAAAGTTGTTAGCTGTAATGAAAATTTATTCCAAAGTAAAAAGTGGATTTTTATTACTGGATAAACAGCTGCAAGTTTGAAAACTAAGGTCCTCAATCTTTCGGTCACCTGAAACAGGTGAGTATCATGTTACACAAATATTACCTGCAAAAAAGAACTCTGTGTACTGACAAAAAACAACAGAACCTAAGGAGACTCTCTGCTCCACTGGCCTCCCTCACAGCAGGGAGCTGTCCTCCTTTACATCCAACTCTGTTAAAACATTCTTTGAAGTTCACTGAGAAGTAATTTGTAATTATTGCAAAGAAATATTGGAATCAATGAAAGACTGTACACAAAATGCTCTTATTAGTTTTCAGAGATATTTACAACTGTATTTTTAATCTGTTTCTATGCAAGTTGGTCACACCTCCCCTCGAGGCAGTAGGGGAGGTGTGTTTTGAGGATCTGACTCCACAAGAGCAGAACTCCTTCCCTTACTTTGCAAGCAGGCTTTGATTCCATCCACAAGTTCTTGCCCACGACTTTGAACAACGCAGCGGGAGAACCACCTGTGAAGAACAAAATAAAAAGACCTTCAAAGCATTTCCTAGGCTTCATTCAATGAAGTTATTTTTAAAATGCCTATAAGCAGTTAAATCTTTGTGGGTGTTGTTGGTCAGTGCAGCCAAGGAAGATTTATATGAGAATATTTCCCCCACGGTAAAAGTGCCATAGCACCACTTGAAATCCCTCTCGATCAAAAATAACATTCACACAAGTCAACTGAAAAGGAGAAAGAGCCTGTCACATGCTGATACCCTCTATTCCATGCACTATGGAAGAAGGACAAGGCTACTCCTTTAAGAGAAAGCAGTGGAAAAACTTAATTCACGATATATTTCTTATTAACAGTGTACAGCAAACCAATTTGGATATTTTCCTGGTGGACCACCACATTCAAGGCACTTTTCAGTTAAGGGAAAGGTCCTTCTTTTATTTTTTTTCTTTTTTCCTGCCTTTGGCAAATCTTACCTTGTCATTGACTGATTCAGGCTAGAGACAAATCCTGCCACTGACAGCCTTCCAGTTACAGTGTCATGGTAACAATCAATTCCCACAATCATCACCTGCTTCAGCTTAAAAGAAGTCAATACAGAACATGTATTAGTACATGAAGATGTGCTGTAAGGCAACAAGATCATGACACAAGCTGTATGGTTTCAGGACACTTAAGTAATCCATGGGTACTGAATTCTTGGATTAAGCATCTCCCTGTGTTAGATTTAAATTCATGCCTCTTCTCACAGGCATAGAAACTACTCAAAGAACACTCCATTTTATTTCTTGGGGGAGAAAAGGCTTGCTTTTTAAGTGAAGCTCAGAAAAAGAGTTACCAATTTAAAATAAATAATTAAATCACTTACTGGGATCTCAACACTCCAAAGTTCTCCACCCATTTTGCAGTTCATTTGCAGGGCAATTTTTGTTGCAACAGTCATAATTGTCTGAGATTTGCTTAGAGTACGAGCAAGCACACACTGACTTGGAATGGGGCAATCTGTACATAAGTATTTCTTGATGGCATCATATTTATCTTTTCGGGAACTGGACAAAATACAAACCACCTTTAAAGAAAAAAAAAATGCTTTGTAAGAAGCTGCATTCTAAGATTTACAGAGCACTTTGGAGTTCTTTAGGAAAAGTTTCTTACCCTCAAGAGAAATACCCAAGTGTTCACAGCGAGAGAAGTAAGTGTAAAGTTTCAGTGTCTGTGCATCAGAGCTAAGGACAAAGGCTCTTATTCAGAAGGGTACTCATAGTTAGGCTTAGATTTGAACAGGAGTATGATCAGGCATCTAGTGGATTCTCAGGAGCCAAGAGTAGGATTTCTGAAGACAAATCCCACAAGTCTTAAACACCAATTACAGAGATTAACATGATTTGAAATTATGGATTCAGTTACGTACTATGTTTGTGTCAGGGGTAACCCTTTGCTGTAAAACCCTTAAGTAAGCTTCTGTTCTGTCATCTACTTCAATCCTAAAAAGAAAGAGAAAAAATGCTTATAGAAAAAAAAAAAACATTTAACACCTACTGAAACTTCAGAAAAAAACCCCAACAGCTGTTGAAACTACTTATGCATAAGCATAAAAGCCCCCTGTACATCAGTACTGTATTGTCACATTTACAGCTATTAATAACCATATAATATTCACACATTTTGAAGATGAAGAGGAATCACCTCAAGTTTAGGCTTCCAAACACAATGAAATTCAAAGTTAAAGGCAAGCACAGGCACTCAAAGGAGGATATTTGTAACAAGAATATATCAGAATTAGAATACAACTTAAGTCAGCATGAAAATACATATTCCTCCTTTTGTTAAATATGGCTCTACTCAAGAAGGTTTTGCTCAAAGACTGTCTAATGTTTCTTGGTTTTGCCATGTGAAAAGTTCTCAGATATAAATGTAGTAATAAATGAGTAGGGAAGTCAGTCAAACTGTACAGTTTGCATCCTGAAAACAACTTTGCTTTATGAAAGTTCTCACAAAAGTCAGTAGTGTGACATACTGCACCATCTCCTCATTTAAAAGCCTAAGCATGGGAACAGACACATTTTAAGAAGTATAAAATGGTTTTCCCACCAGCTTTCTACAGACACTTACAAGGTGGGCCTGCTCATCCTGATCCCCATGGAGGGGGTGACCTTGTAGAGGTTCTGAATTAAGGTATTGGCAACGTCGTGGTTGCGCCGCGTGTGGATCAACAGCCAGTTGTCCATGGGCACAGCACGGATTAAGGGAACTCCCCTGGTCTCCTTTGTCCAGTCAGCAAACTGAGGGTTGTAATCAACCTGTGAAAAGATGGGAAAGAAAGAAAATCAACACCCTACCAGGCAAGCTATACCAGAACTACTTCCTGACACACTTCAAGAACAGACTGTAACACTTCTGCCTAGAACAGGACCTCATTTTTACCTGTCCCTTTACTGCCATTGTCAGTAATTTAAAATAAGCTTTATGCTGCCCTATAAAGAAATCACACTCTTGAAGTAATTCATTCCTAATTATTCAAAAATACTTCTGTTTTTTTAGTCCAGATTAAGTTGTTACTATTTGCTACACAGACTCTGGTGTAAAGACATAGCTTTAGATGTAGACTTCTTTTTCTCCCATTTTTCTTTTTAATAGGGTAACTGCTTGAGAAAAAGAAAAGTATTATTATAAAGGAAACAACACATCTTTTAAATAGCAAGAATTAAAAGAGCTTTACAAATACAGTATCTGGATCTGTACAGCTGTGCTAAGTGCCCTTTTCCATCCAGCAGCCATTCAAAACAAAAATCTCTAGTACAGAGCAAATCTCTAATGTTTTATGACAATCTATGGTTTAATTCAAATTTAGATTATTCATACTGCTCACCCCACCTTTAAGTGTTCTATCTACTGAACTGAAATAATTAGTGGCTTTTCATCTGAAAGCCTTGATACTTTAATAAATGGAAACTAGTTAGAAACATCTCTAGTCTCCTAGTTTGTGTACCTGAAAAGACTTTTTCTGGACAGAGGGACTGTTTTGCAAGGAAGACACTATTCTAATGTAGTGCTTTCAAGAGTCTCTAAATAGAACTTGTAAACAGTTTAAGAAGTTTGCAAGTCTTCTGCTTGGACAAAGATTTGTGTGCAATGTTTTTACTCATTATCCCTCATTTATAAAATCAAAAAGTACGATTTCCTTCCTTAAGAACTTGTTTCATCGGTGAGAGATCCAGAAGATTTTGGAAGCTGATTTATTATTTACCATGTTTCCTGATTGAAAGATCTTTTCTCCTTGAACAACTCTTCCCGTAAAGGCCACTGATTTATAATCAAAGTTTAAACCCCAGTTTCCAAGTTCCTTCTGAACGTTGTCATCTCTGTTTAAAAAACAAAATTTAAATGAAAAACATAAGAAATTTGTTCTTGCTGAGTTTTTTTTTTTTTAAAACTAGTAAAATTTCTAAAGTTTTGCTGCAAGAAATAAGTTAATTATACAAATTTTTCACGACACAGAGGTACAGAAGATGTTGAGGTGGCATACTTTTGGATGTAGTGAAGAAGTCTCCCAACTTCCCGTTGCCTTTGCTCAGGAGGCAGCCGGGTGTGAATCGCCAAGTCCTTCATCATGTTGAAGTCAGTTCGCATCTTCTCCGTTAATCCTGGTAAGGGCAAAAGCTTTTTCTGAGCAAAAGTTAAGACTAAGGACTATGGAAATTCAAATTCCAAGCCATACAGATTGATGATGCATGTACTGCAGGCAGAGAAAGTGGTGGCAGTAGTAGTCAAGGTTTTCGGTTTCACAGAAAAAAAAAATTCTGGATTTTTGTGCTTGAGAGGAAACCACATGAGGAATGCAAAATGAAGACCACACAAGGTGTTCATTTACATTTCCAAATCAAATCAAAACAGTGTTGAGATGGACAGGTACTGCTAGTGCAAAGTGAGTATCTCAGAGCAATATACATATTTATAGATCTTACAAAATTATCTATTTCTAGTAAATGTCTCTTTTTCAACAGAAATTCTACCACCAAAAGTCTCTACAAGTTATCAGTGTGCCAGTGTTGAACACTGTACCTGCAGATTATGCAACAGCAAAACCCCTCCAACTTTTCAGCCTTGTTTAAAATCTTTTAGCTACGAAACTTGTTTCTAAACTCACATTTATAAAAACCAAAACATTTCTACTGAACAAAAGGCTGCTGTCAAAATCCCATTTCAGTAGCCATTATGGTTTGACAAATGCTTTAATATGAAAAAATACTACAGTACCTGTTAGAGAGCACAGCTCTGGAATTAGAACCACAGTTCCTTCCACATTTCTACTCTTCTTCAGCTGACTGATCAAGACAGGCTGCTTTGGATCACCAATGTCTATATTATATTGCTGTGTTAGAAATATATATTCCATGTTAGTTTACTCATAACAAAGCTTTGGCTTTCCTAACCTCGTTTCTGCATGCTGTGACAATGCATCTGTATTCCTCCCATATCACCTCTCCCTGCTGCCACCTTCCATATGCTTCCTTTTTAAGTTTTCCCAAGAGCTCCTTGCTCATCCATGCAACCCTTCTGACATTTTTGCCTGACCAATTACTCCCTGGGATGGAGTATTCCCACCAAACCATACTGTGGAGGTTACTTACTGATCTCAAGTTACATAGTATCCATTAAACATAACATTCTATTAGAAATATTAATTACAAATCCATGCATCATAAGCAAACCTGTAACAATGCTCCAACCTTCCCAGTTACAGCACAACACACACAGTTAAGCTTCCATACCTTTTTGTAGTACTCCAGGAAAGTGATCTCAGCACCATCTGATTTTCTAAAGGTGGCCATTGGATTGCTATCCCAGTTGATGTCATCGATTCTGTATGTTCTGTTATTGTACCTACATAAACATTTAATCAGGTTTTGTTTAAATCTCAAATAGGAAAGAAATACAACTGTGAGACAAAAAGTTAATCACAATACTCAAGTTGAAAGTTTTTCTCCTATCAGAAGCAGTAACTTCAAGTTTTCAATTGTAACAGGCTCTCAATTCTACCAAAAACTGAGTTGTAGTAAAACCAAAAGAAAACATAACTAACCCAATATGTACTTTCTGCTTTTTTAAATGCTGTCACCTTGATTAATTTGCCAGTTTGACAATGACAGCATTTCCATGCTTTCTGATGCTTCATTGTGTACTTCAGGACGTGGAGCATAGAGAGATTTAAGACAACAAGAGCCCACAGAGACTCACCTTGTGAGAACAATTAAACCAATCAGCTCTTTAGCACAGGCATCTCTAAATCCTGCCTCTCCAACCTGGGAATGAACACTGTGCATAACATCCAACACTGTCTCACCACGAAGAACCTTATGGCTCACATCTGCACACAACATGATGTTCTCCTCATACTGGAGGATGGAACTTGAGAAGCCTGGCCACACCATCAACCTGTCAAAGGAGAACACACACAATCCTAACGTGCTTTAGAGCATCTTCATTCTCACCCCTTATTTCTGTCCACTTTCATGGACATCAGAAAGCAGTGAAGACACTAAGAAACCACTATCCAAATATAAACAAGCTCTTAAAAATTAACAAAATGAAAAATATTTTACACGTAGCTGTCTTTAATCACCCCAAAATAAGATTAACTGAATGATGCAGCTATAACTGAAGTGAAAGCAAGGATGCCTCAAAAGCTAAGAAATTTAATTCATGCTATTAAATATCTCACAGACAAAGTGTGTAGGTATTTAAGACACTTTTAAGAGAAAAAGACCAGCAGTTTATGTAGTAGAACACTGCCCAGTTTCTTCCACCAACTGGGATCTTACACATACACACTAAGTCAGGAGAATGAGATTTTATGCTTCCCATGAATACCTGTTTTTATGAGCATGGTTTTATTACAAGATAAATCACCAAATATCAACCCCTCTCCCAGCTCCCCTCCTAAACCTAAGTACTTTTGCCACACCTGTGATTAGGGATGCTGACTGGATCCCCAGGGTTGTAATAATTACGGCCAATCTGTTGCAAATTGAGCATCTTCAAAAGCCTAGAAAAGTTGAAATATGAATGTCACTTAGCATTATTATTATTATTATTCAGTTTATCACACTATGCATGATCCCATTCCTCTGCACAACCTCATTTTTTTATTCATCTGACTAGATAAAACATGAACTTTTTAAAATGAGTTTAATGAAAAGGTCATGGACACTTATTAATGACAACCAGGTGAGGTAAATTCAAATGCAACCCAACCCTTCTCCAACCAGTTGAAGGTAACAGTCCAAACAAGCTACACCTCAGATGAACCAGACAGTCCAAGCACCACAGTAAAGTGGAAATACTACAGCCAAAAAAAGTAATTTGCCTGCTCTATTATTTGCTTTAAGAGGCAAACCCACAGACACAAGAAGAGAGTAGGGACAGGAATATCTGCCTATGACAGTCAGCATTCCAGTGTCAATCTGCTTGCTCAGGAAAAAGGTATAAACTCATTTCACACTAACATGAGCCAGAAATACACACATAATGCACATTAAAACATTGCCAGATGTGGTTGGCCACATAGTAACAACAACCAGAAGGGCTTAAAAACTTACATTTGCAATACTTATTTACTAAAATCTATTCTTTGGAATGGAAAACCTTAAGTCATGTATTTTCAGAATGACTTTTTATAAGAATGTAATTTGTACAGCAAACCTTCTAAAAATGATGTTGTAAAAATGCAGACATGTAGGTGAAGAAGGTGGCAACTCATTAGTCAAAGTGACTGTTATCTTCACATCCTCCCCATTTCGAGTCCTACTAAACAGCTCAGTAACCTGAGAAAGTGAAATGAGGTTAATAAAGCTAGAGGCAAACAGGGCTGCATCTGGACTTGGCTCCAGTAATATCAAACTGGACTTGTACACTGAGATTCTATGCAATAATTCAAGACTAATTGAAAAAGGAATTTGATTCTCTACCAGGACTGTAAATTACAACCTGATTTGGGTGAAGATGACTAACAGTAGAATGGAGACTATCCCCAGAGCAGCTGAATTCAAGATCAAGATAAGGAGATCACTTACCAATTACCACGACAGGAAAAAGACTCAATTTGAGGAAATAAACTTAATATATTGCCAACTAACATACATTTAATTACTGGTTCAGGTACTGGGAGGCAAAAAGACAAAAGATTAGAACACACAGTGAAAACATCTTCCTCCTCTCCCTTTTCCTAACCTAGCTACACTCTGGACTCCTGTGTTCCCTCTGACCACCACTGGCTACACTCAGTCCCTCCGGTGAGGCAGTGAGTGGCACGAGGGGCAGGGGTCAGCAGCAGTATATAGTGTTTTCCCTTTGCTGCTCCTTTCTTCTTAGATTTTTCTTCTGCTTTGATATTCTTCCCTTCTTTTTAAATACACAGAGGTGCCACCAGCTTTGGTCTGTGATGGGTCCATTGTGAAGCTGGCTGAAAATGACTGTGTACAACACAGGGCAGCCTGACCCCTTCCCACAGGAGCCACCCCAGACCCCCCTGCTACAAAAACCCTGCCACACACCCCCAATTCATCCACCCTTTCAATTATGTTGAATGTTAATTTACAGAAGTTACGAAAAGAATTAAGCAGAAAGAAAACTAAAGGAGAAATACTGTCTGTACTACCCACTTCAGTGCAGAGGGTTATTCTAACATGCAGAAACTTCTGGTTCTAATGCTTAGGTTATCACCAAATTTCTCTACACGAGCAAATCAGCTTACACTAATACCCTCAATCCAACTAAACATTACTTGTGGGACATCAATTCCCTGACTTCACCCTGGCTAGTAAGGAACGAGAAGCATCACAAAACGCGAGTCGAAATAAAAAAAATAAAGCAGCATTCTCGTGTCATACCCTATTCCGGAGTTTCTGTGGCAAGAACAATATTGACCCATCGAAGGCGTGGGTCCTTCCAATGTGCTCCTCGTGCTGGAAGAGCAGAGCGGATCGAAGGCGGCGCGATTCCATCTCGGGGCTGTAGCCAACGTGGTACTGGTACAGAGCCCACTGGGGTCGAGACGTCAAACGATAGTGGTTGGAAGTTAATTTTATCAGTCTACCTGACGTACCTAAAATGAGAGGCAAATATCTGAACAGTGGCAACATTTTAGCAGTTTATGTTCGTTCAACAGCTCTCAGAGGTTTTTGAAAACTATGGCGTTCAGACAAAGATCAGAGGTGGGTTGTGCTGTGCATCTGTCCAAGCTCGGTGAGCTATGGCAGTGTTATGAGACAGTCATCTGCTCATCAGAGCTTTCTGTAACTCCTTCAGCTGGCAGGAGCACTCTCACATCACATGAGGTAAGCATTTAGATCAGCAACCTGTACACAGATGGAAAGGGAAAACAGCAGCCAGCACTACAGCTGCCTACAAAGGACAGAGATCCATCAACTAGCAGCACAGCTCTAGACAGAATAACTCAGAATGAGAACAACTACACTGCTCCTGGCCCAAAGTGACTTGAGCAGAACTAAGCCCTGTCATTCCTGGGCCTGTGCCATGCTCCAGTCATCACTCAATTAATCAAAAGTGGACTACAGTCATTGCTATATGGTGTGATGTCTCATACTTACAATATAAAACCATCATCAGCATAGAACTTGCACTGTGGAGCATTAAAAGGATGAAGGGATTGCATTGTAGCAGGCATACAGGACCATCATGACAGTCTGCTGTACTTGTCATAAGCACGAGTTCAACTCCAGAAAAGAAGCATGTCACCTTTTCTTTAAACTAAAAAGTTTCCTTGAGAAGAGATTTCAAATTCCACATTTATTTAGAGATCTTTATCAATTTGGTTAGTGAATGGATTACAAGAGCAACTTTTAATCTTTTTCTAGTACATAGTAAAGGTTTTTGTGGGTTTTGGTTTTGTTTTGTTTTGTGGGGGTTTTTTTGTTGTTGTTGTCTCATTTGGGTTTTTTGTTTGGTTGGTTTTTTTGTTTGTTTTTTTTTTTTTACTCAGCTCTCTAGGGGAAACTAAAAGCAGAAGTCAGGAAAACCATTTTTCATTTCAACTTGTTTATGTGTCTATAGTCTAAACATACCAGTTTTTGATTCTTGAACATGCAGCATGGCTTGTCGAGTATTGACCCCCAGGTCATGGTAATCCCTCCGACGGCCACCCCTCTCTCGTAAACACAAATCCTGGAGTCCCGAGGAAACCCGTAATCCTAATGGTTTGAAATTTGAGGAAGAATCAGAATCAAGTAATAGATATATTATAGATATTGTTATATATTATGCAAATTAGAATTAAATACAATTCAGTTTTGAAAGGCACGCATATAAATTTAAGAGAAATCATGAAATGTTAGTTTTCAGATTTTGCTATGCAGCAAACATCTTAAAACAGAATTCAAGGAACACATAGTAACTTCTGAAAATTTAGGGACAGGTAACTAGTAAGAAAATAGAACAGCTCACAACAGGATGACAAAAAAACCCCAGATGTCAATCCTCCAAATCAATAATCTCTTCTGCAAATACAGGGAGGACAGGTCTCTTTCCTTTTAGCTCCAGCTGCCACCAAATGTAAATACACTGTGATGTGAAACAGGCAAGAAAGTTTAATTTCCTTATTAAGATTCAAGAAAGTAATGAAGTAGCAAAACAAAATTTACTGTTGGTACTCATGTAGTTAATTGTGTCAACTATTTTGACAGAGGACGTGGTACACATGAGGTACTTCTCAAAATTCCTCATTCAGTTAGAGTGACAATGCCATCATCACAAGGTTACGTATCGCGACCTTCTCCAAATCTTACTAATAAATCTCATTTTGAAAAGACAAAGAAACAGTCTAAAGAATATCTTAATTGCATTCTCTTCAAAACACAAGCTCTTGTGGGCAATGAACTTTTTGTCCCTGTCTGACCTTCTGGCCTTCTCTCCTGATGAACGCTCCCAAAGCCCCTCAGTCGTCCGTGGCCTCCGTGGTCTCCCGACGATTGTGACTCAACACTGACCCGCCGGGGCTGCCGAGCCTCACCCAGCTGACCTGGCAGATCCAGTGCCACCTGCCAGGGTTGGGAACAACTTTTTCTACTGCAACTGAAGAAACACCATACTTCCAAGAGTACAGCACAACATTCAGTAAGTAGAGAATACTCAAATACCCAAGTGGAAGAGTTCCAGAAGATTAAATCTGTTTTTCCTGTATTAAGTTGCAGTTATTACTCTACACTTTAAACTCAAAAATACTGAAGTTCAGGATTTTTTTCCTAAGTTAATATTCATTTAACTAACAGTCAATACAAATCTTTCCAAGTTCTAACTAAAATTCATGGACTTCTCATTTCAGATCAGTAGCTAAGCAGGTCTCCTTGCTCTTACACTCTCCACCTTGTAAGATCTGTCAAATGTACACCCTCTAAGAAGTCTGTAAATACCTATAAGTACTACTGCAAAGATCCAATGTGCAACAACCCTGCAAAGTACACATGAAAGTTATCAGAGCCCAGTGCTACCACAGTAACAGCACATTACAAAGTTCTGTGCTCCCTATAGATAGTATTCATAAAAGTAGTTCAGCAAAGTTCTCTACTTTGCTTCTCTCACCTATACTCCATCCTTGCCTCTGAAGGAAGTGGCAATGCCATCTACACAGATTCTCTAACCCAACACTGAGCCCCTGAGCTGACTGTATTCCTTTCCCATCCACAAAAGGACCTGAGCAGAGCTCCATGTCTGCTGTATTATGACGTCTCTGTATCAGACCAGTGTCAAAATCAAATGTTATTGTTCACTTCTTCCTCCCATCCTTCCCTGCCATCCAGAGTATGTTCTCTCTTAGGCTGAGATACAGTGCATGCCTAAGCCCTCACTTTCCAAACATTTAATATAAACCCTCTTATTCATTCCACAACCCCTTTTCAACATATCTTTGGAAACACTTCTGGAACTAACCCTCTTGGGAGACAGATACACACAGTCTACATGACAGAAGAGTGGCAGCCTATATAGAAACAGAAAGCCAAAACAGACTTTTCTCCACTCAGAATTCATCAGTATTCACAGTCCATATAAAGTATCTAACCCCTACCTTTTCTATTACTTTCCTCTTCACTCAGAGCAGGACACTGATACCACTCCCTGACTTCTGTTAACAATTCTGTGCAAATCAAAGAGGCCAAATCTGAATCAATCAAGTCTCTTAGGTTTATAAATTCTGTTCCAGGGCCAAGAGGTGCATCAGTGCTACTGCTAATGCACAACAGATTTCACTGTTTGAGAAACAGAACTGTTAATTACCTTCTATCACTATTTAATCTCATCTGACACTGGCAAGAAAATTACCAGGAACACTCCTCCAGTCTGCCCATGTGTTCAAATGAAAGATGACCACTGATAACTGATACACTTAAGAAGCTGCTTTAAAAAAATCTCCAGGTATGTAGCCATGGCTGCAAACACAGAAGTATCAGCCATTTTCAAGTGACAGTTTGATCAGTGCCTGTAAGTGCAAGACAAGCCCTAAATACTACCTCCAATGCATAAACTCCTTGCTACTGAAATTAAAACCAAGAAGAACAGGTCAGAACACCTGCCAGACCCAGGTTCTGCCCAAATATGAATCAATAGCAGCAGCAGCCTAATATATGCTGCTTCTCTGCAGGGTAGCACAGAGGACAAAGAAGGCTGTGAAAATATCTATTTCCCCCCAGCTCTATAATATATATATATTTAACTATATATTAAATAGTTTGTAAGGACACCAGAATGTCCTTAATAAAATGGAGTTATATTAACTATACATCTAACATAATATATACATACACACATGCAATATCTAACACATATGCCTGAGGTATGACAACCCCTGTTGCATTCACTTAAAAGAAAACCAACTCACAGTTGGATCTCCTGCCATAGGTCCAGCAGCCTCCTGTCTGGGAGGTCTCCCCCTGGCTCTCGCTCGGGCTCTTCCCGTCATCTTCTAAAACAAACAACTTACACCGTTAGTGCTCCATTGCCTCCTTCCCCATCCTTATCCCGACAAATATTACGAGCAGCACCCCACTGCATTTGCCACGCTTTAATTTCAGTTAAGTCAGTAAAACGCACCCCTCTTGGAAACATTTTTGGATCTCCGCACTAACAGAGCCATGACGGGGAGCGTGGGGAAGCTTTACAGGCAGGTTTGCACTGACTGGCACAGGCCACCACGAATCCTGAGGCTGGTAAGTCAATTAGACCGGAGAGCACGGCAGGGCCTGCAGCCTCAGCCAAGCGTAACTCAAAGCCTCCTAACGTTACTTTCCAGTCTCTCAATTCAGCCTGATTTGTTACACCAGGAGCAGCTTCACCCAGAGCACGGGCCAGCGTTACCGCCTGGTCACTGCCGCCCCCGACCCCGACCTGCCCATCTTCTCCCCTCACAGCCGCCCTTCCCGGCCCCACCACCCCTGCCCGCCTCGAGCCATCCTTAGGGCCACAGTGCGCACCCACAGCCTCCCAGCCCCGCTGGTCCTTGGCGTTACCTTGTCCTGCCCTCCAGCTGCAAGAGGACTCTGCTCCTACGCAGCGGCAAAGAAGGGGCCGTCGCCGCACGATTTAGTACCTTCCGACGGCCACACCCCGGGGCCACTGCCCGCACCGCCCCCGCACCGCCCCCGCACGGCCCCCGCAACAAGCCCCCGCAACAAGCCCCGCAACAAGCCCCGCAACAAGCCCCGCAACAAGCCCCGCAACAAGCCCCGCAACAAGCCCCCGCAACAGCCCCTCACCGCCCTCGGCACGAGCCGCCGGGGCGAGGAAGGAACACGCGCTCGGCGCTGATTGGCTGCCGAGGCCCGAGCCCGGCCGAAGAGCGCGGCCGAAGAGAGCTGAAGGGAGTCGAAAGAAGACGAAGAGAGCCGAAATGAGACGAAAGAAGCCGAAAGGAGCCGAAGGAAGCCGAAAGGAGCCGAAGGGCAACGCTCTTCCCGCTCTCGCGGCGCCCCTTCCCCCCCCCCAGCGGTGTCGCTGCCCCTGCGGGCGGGGAGCGGCCATGGCGCTGCCCCTCAGGGCCGAGTTCCGCTCGGGTGGGGCTCGGGGTGTCCCCCCCGCTCCCTCCTGCTCGGTGTCATCCGTGCGAGAGGAGAACGTTCCCGCTAAAAGGCGATTTCCTCCTCGTCCTGCTCGTTGCTTGAAAAATAAGCTGCAGTTAACCAGGAGGTGGAGCAATAAAGCAAGAAATAAAGCTCTTGATGTTTCTAGTGAAGGGCTGCATCGCTCAGCGGCGTTACAGCCACGGTTGTACTTCTGTACGTGTTTAAGCCATCATTTAAAACTAGCAAATCTTAGGGCTTGGAAGTCAGTGGCCTGAAGTGGGAATTCACTCTCTAGCTAGCTTTTCCAAGCTCCTGTGGAAAGGCAGGGTGTCTAGACAGCACCAAGGCTCAAATTCACCATTTCTGTTGGGTTTAGTGTGCCTTTGCTCAAAGTTTAGATGTCTGTGATGTGTTTGGAGACTTCAAGGGACAAGAGATAACATTACCTAATTAAATACTCACCATTATGAAAGACCACTCACATCCTATGGGGTCATTTACGATTTGCTAGAGAGTGAATTCCCCCTTCAGGCCGCTGACTTCCAAGCCGTAAGATTTTCTAGTTCTGTTGGGAAGTCCAAAATACGAGTTATGATTTCCTGTAGCAATCACAGCAATTGGATCTGCAGTGCACAAGGTTCCTTTTCCTCCTTCTCTGTCATTCCAGGTAGAAGTGGTTAACGCTGTTAATATCAATACTAAAATAATATGAATATCTCTTTTTATTTGATTCATATTGTCAGTTTGTCCACAAAGCCAGCTTTGCTGTGCTTACTATCAGTGCAGCAGCCCACTTAGGAAACCAGATTCTCTTTTTCAAGTGTAAAAGAAGAGTTTTCGAACTGTGAAAGTGTGGATGTTGCTGCTTAAAGATAGCTGAAGTACTTTTAGCATGGAATTTTTATTGTTCACATATAAATCCAGATAAATATTTAACACGCTCAATACATACACTTAGATGGGGCATGTTCAGTGCTTTTAAGAGCAGTGATTACTCCTTGCCATGGGCTCTTCACCCACAGTGCCAACTTTTATTGCTCTGTAGCCTGCAGAACTCTCCAGTAGGTCAGAGGGTTAAAGCTGCAGAAACATAATATGCAGATTTTCTTGGCTCAGCAGTATTTAAAGATAAACAGAATATAAAGATGTTGTCAAAGTCATTTATGTTATGTAAATCATGAGAAAGCAGAATGTGTGTGTTGGAAAGAGTTATGTTTGTTTATTCATTTAAAATATCTGTCGTGCTTAGTGTTTATTTTTTTTATGCCAAATTCCTTACATTTCACTGCAGAACTTAATTATCTTTAGATGGGAGTTGTTAAAAGTACTTAATCAGGCTGGCTACCTACAGCAATTCCTTATAAAATGAAAATAAACATCAACAATAAGCACCCTAATTTTTATACGTGGGTTGTCAGACAGTTAATTAGTACTTAGCAAAAGATAAGTTCCAATTTGGTTTTTGCAGTCTTGCAGACTTGCCTTTCTTTTAGCAATTCAGTCCAGTTAAAACTGGCTGTGCAGGTATCTTTAATGGATTTTCACAGTCAGAGGAAACGTGGAAAAGGCAACGCACTGATTGCAACAGGTACATCATGTCCTTAGCCCAGGCTGGTTCGCAGAAACACTGAGAAAAACAAGATTTTGAAAATGGCAACTGCTTGCCTTTTCATTTTTGTGCTGCCAAAAAACCCTCCCAAAGCTGGACTCCAACACGCCGAAATATCACATATGAAATATTTTTTTTCACAGCTACTTGGCTTGGACTCTGCTTTGATGTTTGCTTTACCCGTGATGCAATTGTTTTTGCCTTCTGTCTCCTGTTGCTACAATAAGCCATTTCCCATACATGTCATCTCCAAAGGGGAAAAGACCGCATGGAAACAGAACAAAGAAAACAGAACAAAAGAAAATCAGGGATTTTTCCAAAGGCCCATTTGATGTACAAGTATAAACAGGAAAAAGATGCCTGAGGAGGTAGGAGCCAGGAACTGTACCAGCAGACAGCTGTTAACTCGTGTAGTTAGCAGCACTTTGGGATTCTGAATGGTAAATAAATAAGTGACTCCAGTGCACATAGTGAAGAAAATACTCACTTCACTACCTTTAGTGTAATGTTTAAGTGTATTGCAAACTCCTCACAAAGTAAGTTGAACCCTTACCTTCATGTATTTCTTGTAACACCATGTCCAGGTATCAATACCTCTGTTGGTACTAGCCCCAGAAAAGGAATTACCTCAAGACAGCGGAATAAAAAGCAATATTTGCTGTGATGAAGCAAGTGAAAATAAGGAACCCTTCAGAACAGAACCCAGCAACTCACGTGTGCAACTAGACTTTTTAAAGCCCAGCATGTTGCTCCTGAATCTTATTGAGTTATTTGTTAAGAAATTTTCAAATGGGAATTTCTCAAAAATAAGCATTGAAATTCAAGTTCCTCTGGTAGGCATTGAGTATTTGTGAGTCTGGACTGCAGTGCTTTTACATTCTTAATTAGTTCTTTCCTAAAGGGAGAGAGGCAAAGTTTTAAAGACTGAGTTAGTATCTGAAATAATATCTCATGAGTTAACAGTCTTGCTTCTTCCCAATGCAAGTTTTTAATGTCCCATTTAAATTTACTATAATGATAGTTGGAATAGAGGAACTGATGTGCCTAAACAGTGGAGCCTGATTTACTTACTGCCTTGGGTAGAGTATGGGGCACAGGGAAATAGTATTTACATACCAAAACAGAAAGCAAAAGGCATGTTACAGAAAAAAAATTGCTACTAAGGAGATAATACCCAACTCACTGCGTAATAAATATCATGAAAGTATTTTCTCTCAGGAACAGGGAGAATACATTTTCAACTTCCTATTTCCCCTGCTGTTTTCTAGTCTATTTTTTTAATCCCTAATTTCTGGGGTTTTTTTACTTCAGATCCTTTCTTCTTCCGTCTGAGCCCCTATTCTTTGTAACTCATCTCTTAAAACATCACTCGCTCTGTTCTTGGAACCTGTGTAGGACTTTCTCCTGTTCCCCTTGGCAACAATGGGTTTTGTTTAAACAGAAGCAAACTGGGTTTGGGTTTGGTGTGCTCCTTGTTTACCAGGGTATCTAATCACTGCTGTCACCATCACTGCTCACTCCAAGCCCTGTTTTGTCAGACTGTGCCCTGAGCCCTCCTGTCCTGAAAAAAAAGCAGCCTCTTATTTACCCACCACCATATCCCTGCCAAAATTTCCTGTACTCTACCAACTTAACACGATTCTCTGTTCATTTCTGCCCATTAAAAATTCAGATTGGCCCTAGCTGATGTTTATTTTGTGTCCAAGTCCTGAGCGAAGCGAGCAAGAAGTGATTAGACATAAGTTCTCAATAAATAACTGTATTAAATTGAGAGGTCACATTAAACAGAGAGACACAAGACCTCCAGAAATCGATACTGTAATTAGATTTGTAAAGCATGTTCTATAAATATGAAATTCTGTAATATGTGTATTTTGGAAGATGTCCTTTATTACCTATGTTTTTAACTAGTAAGAGGAGATGGAGAGTTAGTTTATAGAGTATGTTAGAATAGAGCTGAAACAGTATTTTTATTCAGATATTATATAGTAAAATATTGGATTGTTTCAAAAAGCAATAGGAGTATTTCAGGAGAGAGACCAGCAAGAATTCTCATGTTTAGATAAATTGATTTCAGCTCATTTAGCAACTCGGTTTGATCTAATTGTCTTTTTATTGCTTTGAACATTCCTGAATTATGCAGAGAATTTGGGTTATGTGATTTAGTGTTGGATTAAAAAATGTCACAGCTTAACTTTCTTTAAAATAGTGTAGAACTTTGTTCACAGTCAACGAAGTTCATTATTTTTTTGTTCAAAGCCCAGCTGCAGGCCTGGAGCATTTCTCATAAATATCAGGAAGTACCCGAAGCCACAGTCAGGATTAAAGAGTTGATCTGAACCTTAGATCTCAGCTTTAAAGCTGTAATGTACAGTGAATTTGGTTTCATGGTAAAGGAAATGGTAATTGCTGAAGTATGTTTTCTTAAGTTGCAAAATCATTTTTGAAATGTTTTCATTGAAACCTCTGTCGGTGCTGTGCATGAGAATGAGTGGCCTCATCACACAGCAATTGTGCAGGACCACAGCTCTGAGTCTGTGCTGCTGTCCCTGGCACAGGGACCAAGGCCAGGGTGGCCACTCCTGTGTGCACAATATCAGCTCCACAGCCACCACCTAGAACACCAAGCAAGTGAATTAAGGATTTCCATACATGCTATTCCAAGAATTGCTTCTGAGAGATGAGGTCGAGTTCTTGGTTATCTGACAAACACACAAGTGATACCCTTGGTCACAAAGGGCAGAGTAAATTCCTCAGGATAGCAGTAATGTATTAGAAAAAGCACTTTGCTGCTGGCTCCCTATGGGTCTGGTGTGCAGGGCTGAAAGGAGTGGAAAGCACAGTGAAGCATCAGACACGTCTCTACATGCTTTCTCCACCTGGTTAGCTGCATCAACCAAACCACACACCCTGTACTCTGCTTCCAGAGCAGTTTATTTAATCTGAACATTTTATTGCATGAAGGCAACTGTCTTTATTTGCATTTATG